TGTGTGGCAGCATTTAGGTGAAATGTGAAGACTCTACTTCTTATTGCTGAGCAAATGGTTGATGTTGTGGATGAAATGCATGATAGAGATGGTGGAATTATTAGTTTACCAAAGAAGGACACCCTTTTTGAAGAGGATATAGACTTTGAGCCGCACAATGGCATTGAATTTGAGTCCCATGAAGCTGCATACACATTTTATCAAGAATATGCCAAATCAATGGGATTCACCACATCGATTAAGAATAGTCGACGTTCAAAGAAATCAAAGGAGTTTATCGATGCAAAATTTGCGTGTTCAAGATATGGAGTTACTCCTGAATCTGAGAGCGGAAATAGTCGAAGGCCCAGCGTGAAGAAGACCGATTGTAAAGCCAGCATGCATGTGAAGAGAAGGCCAGATGGAAGATGGATTATTCACGAGTTCATAAAAGATCATAATCACGAGCTTTTACCTGCTCTTGCGTATCATTTTCGTATCCATAGGAATGTAAAGCTGGCAGAGAAGAATAACATCGACATATTGCATGCTGTTAGTGAAAGAACACGGAGGATGTATGTCGAGATGTCGAAAAAATGTGGCGGGTATAGAAATTTCAGTTTTCCGCAGATTAACACGAGTTATCAGTTTGACAAAGGCCGGTATTTAGCTCTTGATGAGGGGGATGCCCAAATATTGCTCGAATACTTCAAACGTATCCAAAAGGAGAATCCCGACTTTTTCTATGCTATAGACTTAAATGAAGAGCAGCGTCTGAGAAACTTGTTATGGGTCGATGCCAAAAGTAGAAGCGATTATGTTAGTTTCACTGATGTCGTTTCATTCGATATCTCATACATTAAAACCAATGATAAGCTTCCGTTTGCTCCGTTCATTGGGGCGAACCATCATGCGCAGTCAATGATACTTGGTTGTGCACTGGCTGCAGATTGGACTAAGCCAACATTTACCTGGTTGTTGAAGACATGGCTTAGAGCAATGGGTGGGAAAGCTCCCAAAGTTATTATATCTGATCAAGACAAGGCCTTGAAGTTAGCCATTGAAGAAGTCTTCCCAAATACCCGCCATTGCTTTGCGCTTTGGCATATATTGGAAAAGATTCCTGAAACTCTTGCTCACGTCATCAAACGAAACGAAAACTTCTTGGCAAAGTTTAATAAGTGCATTTTCAAGTCGTGGTCAGACGAGCAGTTCGATATGCGATGGTGGAAGATGGTTACTAGATTTGAACTTCAAGACGATGAATGGATTCAATCATTGTATGACGATCGTAAAAAATGGGTACCGACTTATATGGAGGATATCTTCTTGGCTGGAATGTCAACCGCCCAACGTTCCGATAGTATGAATGCTTTCTTTGACAAATACATTCACAAGAAAATCACTCTGAAAGAGTTCTTGAAACAATATGGTATCATTCTGCAAAATCGGTACGAAGAAGAAGCAATAGCGGATTTCGATACATTGCATAAACAGCCCGCCTTAAAATCTCCTTCTCCCTGGGAGAAACAAATGTCTACAGTTTACACACACACAATATTTAAGAAGTTCCAAGTTGAAGTTCTCGGGGTAGTTGGCTGTCGTATGAGAAAAGAAATCGACGATGGAGCGATTACTACATTCAGAGTTCAGGACTGTGAGAAAGATGAGCATTTTCTAGTAAGGTGGCATAAATTGAACTCTGAAGTTTCTTGTTTTTGCCGTTTGTTTGAATATAAAGGTTTTCTTTGTCGACACGCATTGATCGTGTTACAAATGCTCGATTTTCGGAGTATCCCGCCTCAATACATTTTAAAGAGGTGGACAAAAGATGCTAAGAGTAGGCAACCAATTGCTGAAGGAACAGAATTTAGACAGAACAGAGCACAACGTTACAACGATTTATGTAAAAAGGCAATTGAATTGAGCGAAGAAGGATCACATTCCGAGGAGTGTTATAATATAGCGGTTCGTACATTGGTCGAAGCTCTAAAGAACTGTGTTAATATTAACAACTCAAAAAGTGCTCCAGCTGAATCTAGCGTTCACGCGCATGGTCTACGTGAGGAGGACGAGAATCAGGGAAGTATAACTGCTAAAACAAATAAGAAGAAGAGTGTAAACAGAAAACGAAAGGTTCGTCACGTTTTTTATTCGTGAAAGCTTTCTGAAGAAACATTTTTTGATTCAAGAATCCCTTTTCTCAGGTACAATCTGAAGCAGCTATGATACTCGTCGAACCACAGGACAACTTGCAGCAAATGGTCGAATCTCCCTACTACGTACTTCATTAGCAATGCGCATTTATCACATAGTTAAGGATTTCATTTTCATTCGGACTTTCGACTTGCAGGATAGTTTAACCTCGGATAGCATGACCCTGAGCGGATATTACGGAACCCAACAGAACGTTCAAGGATTGGTACAGCTGAACTTGATGGAGCCTCCCCATGACGCATCGTACTACGTCGATCAACAAAGCATTCAAGGGCTGGTTAGTCTTGCTATGGTTGTTGTTGCATATTCAATGATCATTCAAATTCAATATATTCGTTTTACAGGGACAGTTAAACACAATTGCAGCCAATCATGATGGGTATTTTGGGGCGCAGCATAGTAGCATTCATGCACTGGTATTAATCATGTTCCAATGAATATGCTTGAGGGAACGTTTACTCCAGCCAATGTCTGAAAGTTCTTCATTTTTGTTTTGGTTTTGTTTACGTACAGGTGGATTATCGACCGGCTACGAGTTATAACTATAGCTTACAGGTTTATATAATTCGGTATCGTATTTGAGAACGATCTTTCTGGTTTCGTTTAATAAAACTGTGCTGCCAAAATAATTGCAGGACGAGCAACATTTGAGATCTGCACAGCTTCATGGCAGTAGTTCTAGACATACTTAATGAAGAAACAGATACAAAAAGTATATACAGGACGCACGCCCAGACCCCGGAGTTCTTAGTGCCACCGTGCCACCGTGCCCGAGCTTCTTTACTTTTTTTTTTCGATCGGAAGGAGGAGAGGGAAACAATTTGGGCTGTAAAGTTGTAGCAGAAATCAGTGATTTTGTTTTGAAAGAACCTGCTGTGTTTGGAAGGCTGAGTTCTTCCTTCCTGTATGATATTGAGAATCTGGGAATGCTCTCTAACTATGTTTTTGGAAGGCCGAGTTCCTTCCTGTAAATTCAATTTTTTTCTTCCTACTCACAGGATTAATTCATTCGATGCTTGCTACGAGCGGGTCAACCCAATATCGAGAGACTCAGCCACATCTCTCGAGTCAAACTCAATCACTGGCAGGTATTGTTTGGTCTAGTGTCGGGATTTCTCTTTTCTTCTTGCTTATCACCTACTATTTTAGTGTAGTTTTTAGTAGTAAGAGCTATTATCCTAAGGGGTAGGAACATGACAAACCATTAGAATCAATTCTCGAACCAAATACGACGAGTAGTGGGGTCCTGAGCTAAGAAGTAGCATACTCATCGTCGTTAAAATATCCCCACAAGGGGACGGAAATACAATGTAATTAAAAATTTAGAAAATTCTTCTCCACTTGCTTGCTCGGTTCATGGTGTATATGAATTTCCTCAAAATATAGAGACGGGAATTGGGATTATAATTCTATTGAATGAAGAGGCACTCATCATCATCATCATCCATAGGTTCGTGTCATGTATAGCATGTAACAAAACATGTGCTTACGCCATGCAGTATTATTTGATGCAACTCTACTTGCTTTACAAGTAAAATATTAGGGTTTCAACCTAATTCTAAGAAGTTCTCGAGATAAGAGTTTTAATTTATTTCTCAAAATTTTGAGGTGGGTTTTAATTGGATTAAATTATGATTAATAATCTAAATTAATTATTATCGTTTAAACCTATCTAAAAAAGTTGTCTCAACATCATTAATTTTCTAATGGTTACAAAAATTAGTACTTATTATATATATATATATATATGAATGTCTTGGCGTATAAGCAAGGCAAAATTGTGGATGTTAAAAGTATAAAGAAATTGAAAGAAAGAAAAAACTATAATATATAATTCCTGATGTAGAAGTTATCATTTTGTTTCGTGAAATTATGGAGTCTTCTTTAGGGTAAGAAATTATCACTTTTTTTAAATTTAGTTCATATACGCTATTGAGAGCCTTTGCTAGTTGAATCCCGTCTAGTAGACCCTAATGAAACATTTAGTGGCATGATTAACGTTGATGTACGTAAGTTGCGTCCCCATCACAATCTCGAATGAAACTATCCATGAAATTGTGTCTCATGTGAAACGTAGATCGTCGTTATTGGGTTATCAGGTTTCGATATGGGTGAGTTTGAATGACATCTCTACTGGGTTATTCTTTACAAGTTGTGGAAACACGAGTAGGGTTCTCTAAGAGCTGAATATGAGTTTTATATATTTATTTTATTCTCCGTTTTCATAAAATTTGAGTGAGATCCCACATCGATTAGAGAGATAAATATATGCCAAAGAAGACGTGGGGCTCGAAGGGGATGGATTGTGAGGTCCCACATTGATCGGAGAAAGGAACGACTAACGAGTGTAAGCAAGGATGTCGGACCCTGAATAGGGGTGGATTGTGAGATCCTACATCGGTTAGAGAGTGTAACGAAACATTCTTTATAAGGGTGTGGAAACCTTTCCCTAGCCGACACGAAACTCAAAAGGAAAAGCACAAATAGGACGATATCTGCTAGCGGTGGGCTTAAACAGTTACGAACCAATCTAGAAACGTGATAACTAATGTCTTATCCACAACCATATTCATATATATGATAAAAACAATGGTGGTTCGACACAATCATGTAAAAAAATCAAAATAAAAAGCAAAAAGATGAAAGGGTATGATCCAAAAGAATCCCTAAAGTGAGGCAAAAGGCAGCTACCACCACCATTGATGTGTGTTCTTGAAGTTGGAGATTATGATTTGATGGGGTTTGTAATGAATGGCGATGTTTTCATGTGTTTCCAAGAAAATCATGTAACTCAATTGCCTTACCCTACTCCTCCTTCATAACCCAAACAACAAACAAGAACAGAGCACAGATCAATTACCCAATTTTCTAATTGTTTAAACCATGTCCGGCCCTGGCGATTGGCTTCAATTTTACCATCAAAATCTTACTACCACGGCGGCGCCACCGCCTTCCGATCAATCCACCTCCGAGATGGTCTTCGTCGATCGAGTTTCCGACGCCATCGCCTCCGCAAACACCGGCGCTTCCACTGGCTTGAATCCGGAACGTCGTGTAGCGAAGCCGGTTCGCCGCCGGTCCAGGACGTCTCGGCGGACTCCGACGACCTTGCTCAATACAGACACAACTAATTTCAGAGCGATGGTTCAACAATTCACCGGCGGTCCAACTCCGCCTTTCGCCTCATCGATTTCCCCCAATTTTTCGTTAGGGTTCGGCGCGATTCCTCAATCGAATTCCGGCTTGATTTCTCCGCCGTCTGGTTATCCACTGCAGTTTTACCATCACAACCCCCAACCGTTCATGATTCCAGCATCCGCACACGGCGGCGAATTTCTTCAGAGGCTATCCGCCGCGAAGCCAGGAAATGGCGGAGTCGCCGCAGACGGATTTCTGATGGAAAATGCAATTTCTTCTCAAATTCCTCCAGCCGGAGCTTCTGCAGATTCCTCCAACAAGAGCAACGCCGGTAGTGGCGGCGGCTTTCTGTTCTGACGACGGGGAAAGAATTCCAGCGCCGGCGCCGATGATGGACCTGAGTAATTTTGGGCTATGTAGAAAATTTCAGGGCACTCATTGGCAACGACAAGGTGAAGTGAAGAAGAAGAAGTCCTTTCATTTTTATTTTTTTAATATATATATTTTTTAATTTTCCTTAGGATTTTATTATAATTTTATTGCTAGAAGAAATAGGGTTTTGGCTTTTGTGTTTGAATATTCTTCGTTTGTTTATGTTTCTTTTACAAAAAAAAAAAAAAAAAAAAAAAAAAAAAAAAAAAAAAAAAAAAAAAAAAAAAA